CATATCAGCCTTTCAAGCTGAGCACAAAAAGAATAGAAATGTACATGAAAGTAGATATTATTTATATATATACATATACATATATAACCACAATTCATACCTGCATGCATAGATAAGGCCTGCATGTGTGTATATATATATATATATATATATATATATATATATATTTACATATATATTTATTTTGATTTACATTAAGTTACATAATATCTATGATGTACAGTCTCTATTTGGGAATCTTTTCTGCGCTATTGTTAATGTGCATTCAAATGTTTGTTCAAAATGTCATTATTATCATTGTCTTAAAGAAAAACAACAATCATTGATATTATCATAACAGTACTTAATAGTTTTCTTATAGCATCTACAATAAGACATTTTAGAGTAAAGCTATTGACAACTCTTTCAGAATAGTCAAATGCAATAAGCAGTGCACATTAAGGGTGTTTTATCCCTTTGCACTAGGTAGAATTTTATCATTAATCATGATTATACTTTGCCTGTCATTTGACAGTTCCTGAAAATCTATACAATGTGATTCCCTTTATCATCATTAAACAACACAGATAATAATATTTCTTGTAATATCAATGAATCAATAAAATTATTAATACTTAAAAACTTTTCCTGTGACATAGCCAAACCTAAATTAACCTTTGCACTAGCTAGAATTTCACCATTAATTGAGAATTTCCTTCCACTTACGATTATATCATTAGTGTTTTTAGTATGTTCTCCAAACTGACTTAATATATAATTACGAGTCCTACTGTTCAATATTAGTGGGAGATCAGCAAAGATTTCAGCACATTTCAGACTTCATTCTTATTGTTTTTTCCTGTGTATTCATTCATCTCGTATCAATACTTGTATACTTGTGAATGTGTTTAGTAAACCGTCTAAACATTTTACATTTAAACGTATTTTCCTTTTATACTGCTGAAAAAATTGATGTAGAATTATTAGTTATGATCCTACATTATTAGAACAAGAATAATTTATATTTAGTTATTTAATAACATACCTTTCAGAAAGCTGACAGGAATTCTCTCTATCTATTTATAACCTTAAAATTTCTAGTATTGATATAGTTAAATGTCTCAATTATTTCTGAATTATTAAACTGTAATGAAAAATCATATCAGAATAGTACAATCAAATGAAAGTAATTCGAAGTATGCATATTAATAAAAGTACTCACTTAGATTGAAAGCCGGCAAATATTATTAACTATTTTACTTTTACTTCGTCGTTTCTCGCTGGAACTACATAATACATGCATTTTTCTTGGTATTTCTTCATCGTTAAACAATGCACTTCGACAGCTTATTTTGTTTTTTACTTTAACAAGCATTTATTATATTGTCTAGGTTATCTCTTCATGAAAAATTTATTACAATGGACGCCATGTTTGATTTACGTATCTGTCATATGTCAAATTCGATTTCAAAGTGAAAAAAAAAAAAAAAAAAAACAAGCGCGACCGGCGGCAGGGGCTCTAACTAAACTCGGGTTACAGACGTTTGTTCCGAGATTACCGGCCATGCATCGAACGGTCAAAACCATCTGCGCATGCGTCCCACGGTTGCGGACTGTCGGTTACTGCTTTCCGAACAAACCCTATGATTACGTTTGTCGTACGTCGCTTTATGGTAGTGTGCCGACACCCTTACATTTGTTCTCCGAGTTACTTCGTTATTCTTCGTTTAACGTAATTTATGTCATTCGGTGCTTCGGATGTGTTTCAACATGTCTGTTTTGGGTATTATTTGTCTAGGGTTTTGGATATTAATTATTTTCTTTAAGTTCAGTGCTTTAATGGACGATGAATGACCTTAATTGGCGATATTATTATTTACAGGCTTATGGTTAGTATTTTAATGAATTAATCATTAACCTTATTAGATTAATTTGTGAATAAAGCAAAGAACTTTGACAGCATTTTATTCTGCATTTGCTTGTGAATTTCATATTCGTTTATGTGCCACGCTATTAATTTAATTTTAAACTTAATGTTTGTCTTATTTATAATTGTTAAGTGAGTACGTACTTCGTTGTTTCTTCGATATTGTTTCAATTTCAGGGTGAGGTTATGACAAAGCACATGTTAAATATATTTTAACAATTTGGAAAGTAGTTTTTTTGTTTTACCACATATTTAATTGCATTTTTTTAAAACTAACATCACACCTGAGCCTTCTAATTATTATATGATTTGAATCTTGTCAAGGTTGTACTAAGATATGTGAAAAATGCTGATCAATTATGCACAGTTGTTGTTGGATTCTGTCTCTGTAAATATGGAAACAATTAGCTGCATTGTCGACATATTTTACTGTTTAACTGTAGAAAACATTTCAATTGATAAAAATTATCAAATTCAATTGTTCATGACCACTCGAAAGGTCTAGGATTTGTATGAGTTTCCCCGCTTCTCATACAGAGAAACTTGTGTCGCTGCATTAAAGTCTGCAATTCACTTATGAAACGTCCTGAAAATGATTGGTTTTTTAGAAAATTACCACTAGGAATGAAAAATGGGTTGAATACAATATATCTCATGCAATTGCTCATGAAACAAAAATGAAGTCTGTTTTCAGTTATTTCAAGATAGCATAATGGTTAATTCGGATGCCTGCTGTGATCAGCTGAATAAACTATAGGATATACTTCACAGAAAATGAACTATATGATATGACTTTAACTTCTATACCGTGAATGGAACACAATGCCAAACCCACCGTATTCTCTAGGCATGTCATAATCGGACTATTATTTGTTTCTGTTACTAAAACAATTATTAGACTGTAAAACCTTCGCTTCAAATGAGGGGGTCAAGAAGCACCTTCATCAGTTTTTTGTTAGTAACAACCAAAAATTTTATGATCCTGGAATTACACTACTTCTAGAAATTTGAATGAAAATGTCTGAGTTAAATGGCCAATATATAATTTAGTACAGTATACTTTATTACACAAAAATGACTAGTTAAAAAATCTATAAAAACCAAAACTACTTTTGGAACAACCTAATATCTTTATTTTTTTATATCAAATATTATATAGTTTTTATTTTTAGGTGTCGGTGAAGAAATACTATTCAACATGAGGATTTTTTTACATCACAAAATCATCCTATATTTAAGAGCATTTTGAGGTAACTTGAATAAGGGATCGAATTCAGTAAGTTCTTGCATGTTTTTTTATAACAGAGTTAATTTGATCACAATAATTAAATATGTTGTAATCTATGAAACATTTTAAGACACATTTTGTCAGTAGTTGGCAAAAAATATTGATTTGCTTTCTCTAATATTAATTAAGTGTTATTTAGTGGTGCAATACTAAACAAGTTTTCAGTATCTTACTCTTGTTTGTGCATAAAGTTCCATCTAACAAAGTATTTTTACATTTAAATTTGAATGCTAGTGGAGTACTTATAAGAGAATGATTGCTTTGTAAAAGTCGAACATATATTTTGTATCTACATCTACTAGCCAGAATTTTGTCAAATTTGCACATATCAGGTAAATCTGTTGATGAGCTGAAAACTTACATGCATGTTTTTTCGGTTCCTAGTTATTTTTTTAATGTTCCTTTTTATTTTTTTAACTATTTTCTAGTTAAAATATATTTAAAAAAATATTGGCAATCAATACATTTTTAAAAATTTGGGACAAAACACCTAAAACCAGGACAAGTATTACTTTTAGAAAAAAACGGGATGCAAGGAGGAAAACCAGGACTGCAAAGCAAATTGTTGTCGGTTCTTTTATCTATTGCTGCCTCATTGTGTCACGATATTAGGCATCCTTTACTAAATCTTTTTTTAAATAAGTTACTTTCAAAATGTAGGATTGTGGGATTGAAAAAAATTATGTTTGAGGTCATTAATGTGATTTGTCAGCATTGTTTTATATTGGATTTTGTTTTTGGAATCGCTTTTATGTTGTGATATTCTTTTGTGTAAGTGGGAAAAGTTCTTTTATATACGCTAGACAAACGTTACCGATAAAATTATTGTCTTTAGAAATTTTAATAGGGAAAGAAGAAGAATTCATACTATTGAGAACTTTGAGTCTATTTGTTGTGACAGAGTTGATGAGATGAGGAGGATATGAATTGTTTTTTAAAGTCGTGCGAATTAGGGATAATCTGGAAGGCCAAAATTGCTTACCTGAGAGAAGGATGGGGTATTCGACTAAATTGATAATAGTACCTATCTTCATACTAGAGGGGTGGTAAGAATGAAAGTTTAAATACCTGTCTGACTAAGTAGGTTTTTGGTACCAATTAGTAATAATCCGATTGCCTGTAGTTTTCATAATTTTCACGTCCAGGAAGCTAATAGAGTTGTCTTGTTTCTCGTTAAACCAAGTTAAAACTGTGAAGTAAAAGTTCAAAATTTTCAGTAGAAACGCAAGTGAGAATGTCATCAACGTATCCAGTGACGGATTAAGCTATTTGCCGCCCTAGGCCCTATGAAATCAGCCGCCCTTTTCAATAGACAAAAATTTATTTTAGTATTTAAAAAATATATTTTTATTTAAATTACTTAGATTTTTTTATTTTTTATTCTTAGATTAATTTTATATTTTTGATATAATAATTGTTAAATAATACAAATAAATTTATTAAATATTAACAATATAATATGATTATAATACACATTTTTCTAAAACTATAATTTATAGCTATTCGTAAATATTTTTCTGGATTTTGTCTGAGCAGAACATCAACAATATCATTGTAATCAATTTCTTGAACAAGTTGTGCTTCGATAGTCAGTAATGCTAAAGCACTAGTCTATCTTGACCCATACTTGCTCGTAAATATGTTTTTACCCTTTTCAAAGTAGAAAAAGACCTTTCTCCTGAACAATTTGTGACAGGAATACTCAAAAGATCCGTAAAGCAATGTCTATATTTGGATAAACTTCACGAAGATTATTAGAATGCAAAAAATTATATATTCCTTGAGTGGAACGAACATCTTCCTTACTTGAAAAAGATTCTATGAGTAGGTGTTGTAAATGAATGCATTCATTTCCTAATGTTTCTTCCAAATCTTCAGCATACTTTGTGACTAACTCATCTGCCCGAATTTTTAATTCTCTAGTTTCCATTTCAGACAAATGGTCAAAAATATTAAATTTTTCATAGAGCGTATGATAAGCACTTTTACGGCCTGCCAATTGAACACTTAAAGTATCTAAAATTCGATAATAAATATTTATTCGAAAATTTTCTTCTCCACATAAAAATACTCTCATGCTCTTGTGACTTGTCTGCCTGAAATTTTGGGTTCTTTTACGATGGTTGTCATGATAATAGTTTTTTACCCCAGAAAGTGCATTGGCTTTTCCTCGAATTCAGAAAATTGTTTATCTCTCATGTTCTGTAAAAATAATGCCAAAGGACTATACATTTGTGAAACAGATGATAAATTAGATTTTGAGTCTTGAAATTTTTTACTAGCAGCATTGAAGCGTTTCAAATTTGCATTCCAAACAACGACTAGTATTGCTGTTTCCAAATGCTGTAATTTTTGCAGCAATCCCCTAGCCTGACACCGTGTTGTAGGTTTTTCATATTTGTTTTCGGCAATAAATTTCAATGCAATAATTGTGCCAGACCACTCTTTTTCTAATGCGTAACAAGCATCATGTCGAGCAGACCAATGAGTTTGAGAAAGGCTTTTCAGTCTTAAACTTGCATGCTGTACTAAGATCTGCCAACGATTGGTTGAAATGCTAAAAAAATTGTATAATTCTTGCAGAGTAGAAAAAAGCCGACAGCTTCGGTCATAGATTCTGCTGCACAAGTTCCAACTAAATTTAAGGAAGGTGCTGCACAAGGAACGTATTCTGCTAAGGGGTTAGTTGCTTTGATTCTTGACTGCACTCCTGAGTATACACCTGCGTATAATTTTAAATGTTCTTGTAAAAATGGGTCAAAATCGACCCAATATCCATGTTTACAAATTGTTAATATCAAGAACGATAGAATTGAGAAAAAATCAAAGCAAAACCTTAATAAGTCAATAAATAATCTTCTAGAGACTAACAGGCTATCAAGAAATTCTAGCGTTAATATTAACTTTAAAACAATATGTGATTGTGTTATATCACATTTCCTCAAGTAAAAACTTGTTGCCAAATTCAATACCTAGAAATTTTAAATATCTTTACCATATTCAACAGTAACTTTGATTGCTTTACGATTGCAGCTCGTTATTGCGCAGTTTAACATGAAAAATCTATGACTAAGAGGTCTGGTCAAAATACAACATGAAAATTTTGCTTAAATTTTGAATTTTGCTTAATGTTTGAAAATAAAACATGAAAACAACAGATGAACCTAATGCTTGCTGATCATCACTTACAAATTTTCTTGAACTTGTCACAGTTCTCATAAAATTAGAAATTTTTGGAATTTTATTCAGTAAACACTCTTGTTTTAAAGATTCTTCTGTTGTCCTTTTACGACTCATTGTAATTGCAAATAAAATGATTAAATTCAGACAAACTAAACAACTTAGTTAAAAAAGAGTCTAATTCAAAATAATATCTGATTTAATTCTTTAATGATACTGAACAAAATAATAAAATTATAAGACTTTTCACTTAAACGGCTATCGTAAAACTGAAATAATTACTGCGTTTTGTTTATAGTTTGATCTTAGATTTATACATTTGTTATTATTTGATTTCAGCCACTTAACCCCGTGATTTCCAACCTGTGGTTCGCGCACACTTAGCAGGGCGCGAGGTTTTTCCAAGAGTGACGTACTGTTTCGAAAATATATATAATATAAATATTTAAATATTTAACTGATATTATCAGACTACAAATTAATATGCAATATTATGTAAAAATATACATAAAAATTCATTATTTTTTCACTTTTTATGTATATTTTTACATAATATTGCATATTAATTTGTATTTTGATAATATCAGTTAAATATTTGAATATTTATGAAATGAAATTGTTAGAAAAATAAAAGAGAGCGCTTTTTTTTTTATTAGATTGGGGTGCGCATCGCAAAAATGGTTGGAAACCACTGACTTGAACACGGACAAACACAGTTCGCGCATAGCGGGCGAACCCGAGCACGGCTCGCCAAAGCTATTGTTCTAGGCGATAAAAATCGATTACAATGGTTCTTTATTGGGATATGTCTAGTTTAGATATGATAAGAGCAGATGAATTATTAATCGTTGCGGTAATAAATTAAACTTGAACGACATTTGAGATCATGAATAAACACTTAAAAAGTCTTTCTGGATAGCCATCAAGAGACATGTTATTGTTATACGATGTCTGTGTTATTTTCAATAATCAATGATTACACTCGCCCATTACGACTTACATTCTATTTTATATAAAACGATCTGTAAATTTATAAAAAAAAATCAGGATTAATCCTTGAAATAAATTATTGAGACATTTTATCGGGTTTAAAATTTTTTTGACATTCTGAAAAATTTGCCGCTCCCCAAATTCTGCCGCCCTAGGCCCGGGCCTCACGGATTTAATATGTTCCTATCGAAATGTTGATGGAAATTTCTAAATTATTTTTAGAACCCATTTAAATCTATTTTGACAAAGATGAGCTGCACACAGTGTTACAAATTATTTTACCACTTGCTACGGATTATTTTAGTTCGTTTTATTATTTGATTATTTGTTACTTAAATTTTACCTTTTATCAGTTGACTCGCAAATAGCTGGGAAATTAATTAATATTTGATTAATACTAATAATGAGAGGCTTTTCTTTGTGACATAATTAAACAATCTATATTCACACATATTTGACTTATTCTAAACTTATCCTAGACTCACGGTGCCACCAGTGTCCAAACCTGTCACATCACACACTAATCACATAATAAGTAATAACCTACCTTCGGTTTGGGGACAGTTTCCGATGCGCTGCCGCCCATAACATCGTTTAGCTTACTTTATTACTTATTTAGTCTATAAAACATTTAGCGCACCGGACCGCGCTCATCCCTTCGACATAATATTTAAGAAATATTTGGCTAGACCTTCAAAATTCCAAACCTCTTATCTCTGTAAATTAAAATTTTGTGTCAAAAATTATCTACAGTATCATCAAGATGAATATCATCTGGCAATTCAAAGCTATGAAACCTTCGGCATTCATTATCAATCATTTGAATTTGACTTGAGTTTAATAATCGCGACAGTTTACTCATGTAATGGTAGCAAACTTGCCGTAGTCATTACCGTTTTACCTAGGGCTTCCAATACCGTACAAAAATCTGAATACCGGTATTCGATATTTGAAAAATGAAATTCCGGAATCCCGGTTTTAATACCGGTATTGTCGATGAAAAATTAAATAGTTATATTTTTACTTTCTTCAGTTGTTATATTGACATATTAACAAATAATATATGAAATCTAACAAATATTGTCCTGAAATGAGTACATATTATTTATTTATTACATAAGGAGTAGAAGTAGATAGAAACAAAAAACGTGTCAGTAAAAAAATATATATTTTTCTATGTTACATTTTACATTCTACATTTATAATAAGAATTTGTTATCTAATAATATATTTAAGAAAAGAAAAAAATATAATTCATGGCTAATGTTTTGCTTAATGAAATATGTTCTTAAGAAACATAAACAATCAATTGTTTGATTATCAAGCGAGGACCGAATTTTATTACAAATATAACCAACCGCCGAAAAAGCTCTTTCCGATTCTACACTTGTTGGTACAATTGTAATTAAGAAATTATACATATTTTGTAGGTTCGTTCCTTTTATTCCTGTTTTTTTTTCAAAAAAGTATTTTCATCTTTTATTTTTTGTTCTACACTTGGAGTTTTTTTTAACACACACACGGGTGAAATATTTAGTGTTTCATCTATTGCTGCCTGTAGTTTTTTCTTCATTGCGTTTACCTTGTCAGATACTAATATTGTTTCATTCTTAATTTGGGAAGGTATTGAAAGGGATATTTCTTGATCAACTTCTTCTATATTGTCTGTATCTACTAGATCTTGTTGTGTGAGCCGTTTCGTTGAGTTTACAATTTTTTTAATTAGTGCATATTTTGAAATGCATATCTTCAATATCTTGTGAATACTGAATTTGTGTGGTGCTTCATCACACATATCACAATTTCAACCACTGTAGACTGTTTAATAATTTTACAATATTGAAGAACCATATTCCTAATAATCACTGCAGATTTTGGTATATCGTTGAATCCTCTTGCCTTTAAACCTTCTCTTATATCATACGATTTAATAAAAATATTAAAAAACAAACCTTCGCGAGCTGTCATTCGGGCAAGCTTTTAAAAGTTTTTCCGTTTTATCACTTTTAAAATAATTTGTTAATAACAAGTTAGGTCGTTTAGAAACACTTGATTCGGCCTCAAGGGGGATTCACACATCTTTTTAATATTTAGTCTATATATGGTTTTTATGTGAGGTTGACGGCCACTTGTGGATCCTGTACACTTTATTTCTTTCGCGCACTTCTTGCATTTAGCAACCTGTCCGTCTTTTTCAATCAAAAAATGATTCCAAACTGTAGTTACATCCTGCCCTTTGCGGTGCTCCGTAAATGTATTCACCTTTCACTGGTGGTATATATATATATATATATATATATATATATATATATATATATATTATAGAATTTTATAATATGAGTGGAACGAATATTAATTGTTTAATATGAACAAAACAGCACTCAGATTTGTTTAACACAACTTTATTTTATGATTACAGACGTTTCGAGACCATGGTGTGTCTCATCTTCAGTGTAATTTCAAAAACAGTTACTTATATACTACACATTCTTTAATGATTTATTTAAATTTTATTTAATTTTTGGTATACAAAAAACACCAACTATTCCTTGCAATGCTTGACACAGTACTAAAGAAACATAACACTTACAGAAATATTCTAAACAAATTTGAAGTACTTTCTAGATGGAGACAGAGAGGGTATTATTATAATGTAAACAAAAGGAGTGCTATCGCATACAAAAATCGATAAAAATGAAAAAACAAATTAATTTATTGAAAAGAATAAGATAAATGAAAAAATTTTATAAATTATTAATGATGTTTATATAAGTGTCATGTAAAATATTTGTGTCGGTTCTTAGATTTATGCTATTGTTAGTCCGAACTATTAACATTGATTCTGCCATGCTCCGTTTAAATAAGTCTTTCTCATGGAATAAAATTTGGGGATTGTCAAAATCAAACTTATGGTTGTTGATATTAGCATGATCCACAAGTGTACTTTTAAATTTTTTGTTATCTATTTTTTCACATTGTAATTCATGTTGCCTGAGTCTCTTTTCTAAGTTCTGGCAGGTCTGGCCAATATAAGAGCAATTACAATCCAAACAATTTACTTTATAAACTATATCTTTCTTTTTTGTTAATGGAGTTTCATCTTTAATTTTGGAATATAAAAATTTTAATTGTTTTAATGGAGAAAAAGTAATACGAATATTGTGTTTTTTGAAAAGTCTTTTTGATAATTGGTTAAAATTATTGTCAAGATATGGAAAATTAATGAAAAAAGTTTTTTCAGGAACACTTGTTTTGCCAGGCTCTTCCGGTTTCTTATCAAAAGGTTCAAGTAATTTTGCGACTCTATTTTTAATAATTGGACAAATTTTATTTTAATTATATTTTAACTAATTTTATGTTTGTATCATAAAACAGGGGATCAGATAATAAAATAGCGTGATCTACAAGATTTAGAATGGTAGAAATTTTTATATTGAGAGGAACATGCGAATTAAAATTAATGTATCTCCCGGACCAACTATCTTTTCTGTACCAGTCTGTATAACATACACCTCTATTAATGAGTTTTACGTCAAGAAAATGTAACGTCGAATCATTTTCAAGTTCCTGAGTGAATTGTAAAAAAGAATTGTACTCATTGAATTTGTTGAAAACATTATCTATATCTTTTTTATTAAGTAATATTAATGTGTCATCGACATATCTGAAATAAACCATAGGTTTGGAAGGTAAAGAATTTAAGACATGATTTTCCAAATCTTGTAATACTAAATCCGCCAAAACAGGACTTAATGGGCTGCCCATTGGACAACCTCTCTTCATCGTATAATATTTTTTATTAAAAGTGAAATATGATGCTTTTAAAAGTAATTCTATTCCTGAAATAAAAATTTCCATTGGTAAACAAGTGAATTCAACTATTTGCATCCATCTTTTCTTTATAGCTGTAATAATTAGATAATGCGGAAGATTATTAAATAAATTAATGACGTCAAGACTCATAAAGGAACAATCAGGAGGAATTACTTTATGTTTTATATGTTCTATTAACTGGAAAGAGTTATTTAAACGGTATGGAGAATCTATGGTGACATTCTTTAAAATATCTGAAAAATATTTTGCTAAAAAGTAGTATGGCGAATCAATGTAGGAAACAATTGGTCTAA